GGGGATGGGAGCAGAGGCCACAGGTTCAGAACTAGGGAATCCAGAGAGCGACACCGAGCAGAGAACCCCAGACAGTGCCCACTTCTCCTCAAAGCTGTCTAAGGAGCCAGCGGATGCTGCCCAGAGGAACTTTGCCCGGATGCATGAGACCAGGGAGGAGTGGAAATAGGCCCCACAGTCACAGAGCACCTCCTTTGTCTAGCATCCTCCTCCTGGTGTTGTAAATGGCCACTTTGGCCAGTGCCAGGAGGAGGTTGATGAGCAGGTCTCGCAACTTCGTGGGGCCACGGGCAGTATGTGAATATATGAAGAGGGGTGGGGAAAAGTGCAGCAAGAACCTCAACAGGAGGTTCTGGAGGAGCCAGAATAGGGGCAGCAACCTGGCACATTCGAGATAAGTGTGCGCCAGGTTCTGCCTCATGCTGCAAAAGGGGTAGGTGTCAGGAATGGGGGTGAACCATGCTAGTTACACACCTGTGTTCATGGCTCCATGAAGGAGCCGCCAACCGATATCCCCGACGGGACGTGGGACAAGGCTGGAATAGAGCCTGGCCCACCAGGGTTCCTCACCATCTACAGGTGATAAATAGTCCCGCCACTTGGTATCGGGGCGGGACACGAGGGTGAGGAAGTGAAACGTGTGGAGCACGAGTTTGTATAGTAGTTCCCGTAGTGCGGTTCGGAAGCGAACCGGCTGCAGGGCACACAGCCAGGTCGGGGTATAAAGGGGAGGGTGCCGAGGGGCTTGCAGGACGGGGGCCTGATGAAAAGGTCCGGAGGGCCAGGGAGGAGTGGGGAGCACTCTCCCATAGGACCCACTCAATGAAAACCTGAGAGATGGGCAAGAAGGCTATCCCCACCTCCTGGAGTATGTGCAGGGGGTCTGAAGGGTGGAGATCCCCATGCGCAGACCGAGCGCTTGGGGATCCACCCAGTGCCCGCTGTCGTAGTCCAGGAAGTGTCCAATTATGGTAGTTTCTGCCAGGACCAGCCTCCAGCACAACGAGGGGGTTGTGTAGCAGGGGCACCGCGAGGAGGTCCACTCCCTTGGTGGCCACAACGGACCTGGTCGCTGAAAGCAGCTTCCAGGTCTGGAGGAGGTAGAGGTGCAGCTTGGAGAGATCTCACTGAAGACCCCTTGATAGGCGAAAAAAGAGCTGCAAGTCATATCGGAGCCCTCAAAGGCAGTGGATTATTGCAACAGGCTCCCCCGTCCCACGTACCCAGACCCCACAGCGCACACACACCGCACGGTGCACCGGTTCCACCACCCTCCACCCCACACACCCCATTGGACACCGGCTGCCCTGCCCCACACCCCACCCCAGTACCCAGACCCCACGGAGAACCGGCTCCCCACCACCACCCAAGTAGCTGCTGGTCTGGGAGTGCCGGCCTACGGCAGGCGGACTCCGCTCATTGCCTGGCGAGGTAGAGGCATGGCGCTGGGGGCCTCCCACAGACAGACAGACAGCACCTCAGTCATCTCAGAGCGCCCCCTGCAGCCCTGCCCCCCATAGACAGACAGACCTCAGCCACCCCATAACACCCCCTGCAGCCCTGCCACCACCG